GTGAATTGCTATGCCTTCCTGACGACTTAGAATAAAGAAAATGAGTTCAAAATACTGATAGGACAGTTTGAATTCAGGAAGTGTGATACCTCCCATTTTGTTCTTTTTTTCTCAGGATTACTTTTGGCTGTTCGGGGTCTTTTATGGTTCCACACCAATTTTAGAGTTGTTTCTTCTATTTCTGTAAAGAATGCCTTTGGTATTTTGATGGGGATTCTATCCAACCTGTAGATGGCTTTGGATTGTATGGTTATTGTTAACAATATTACTTCTTCCAATTCATGAACAAGGGATGTCTTTCCCTTTGTTTATGTCTTCTTCAATTTTTTCAGGAAAGTCTTGTAGTTTTCATTGTCCAGATCTGTCACTTCTCTGGTTAAATTTATTCCTAAATATTTTATTGTTTCTGATGCTATTGGGAATGGGATCTTTTATAAAATTTCTTTTTCAAATGCTTCCTAAGTGTAAAGGAATGCCACAAGTTTCTGTAAGTTTATTTTGTAATCTGCTATTTTACTAAAATCATCAGTTAATTACAACAGTTTTTTGATTGACTCTGGGATTTTCTATATATAAGATCATAGCTTCAACAAGCCATAGTAATGAAAACAATTTGGCACTGACACAAAAATAGACACTAGACCAATGGAAGTGACATATACAGCCAACTAACAGTCAATAAGGTAGCCAAGGACGCCCAGTGGGGAAAGGACAGTCTCTTCAACAAATGGTGCTGGGAAAACTGGATAAATACATGCAGAACAATGAAATTAGAAGCCTATTTCACACCACTCAAAAAAATTAACTTGAAATGGATCAAAGATTTAAACATAAGACCTATACCATAAAACTCCTAAAGAAAACATAGGGAAGAAGCCCAAAGATACTGGTCTTGGCAGTGATTTTTTGGATATGACACCAAAAGCATAACCATTACAAACAAAAATCAACAAATGGGACTACATCAAACTCAAAAGCTTCAGTGCTACAAAATTAACAATTAACAAAATGAAAAGGTAGCCTGCAGACCAGGAGAAAATTTTTACAAACCATATATCCAATAAGGGGTTAATATCCAAAATGTATGAAGAACTAACACAACTTGATAGCAAAAAAAAAAAAGAATTAAAAAATGGGCAAAAGAGCTAAATAGCCATTTTTCCAAAGAGGATATTAATATGGTCAATAGGCCCATCAGATGATGCTCAACACGACTCATCATAAGAGAAATGCAAATAAAAACCACAATGAGGTATCACCTCATACCTGTTAGGGCAGGTATCATCAAGAAGACAAGAGACAATAGGTGCTGGTGAAACCTTTATACACTTTTGGTGAGAATGTAAATTAGTCCAACCACTGTGGAAAACAATGTGGAGGTCCCTCTAAAAATTAAAAATAGACCTACCATATGATCCAAGAAATCCACTTCTGGGAATATACCCAAAGGAAGTGAAAACAGAAATTCAATGAGATATATGTACTTCCATTTTACTGCAGCATTATTCACAGTAGCCAAAATATGGCAACAACCCAAATGTTCATCAACAAATGAATGGATAAAAAAAAAAAGTGTTATATATACACAATGGAATATTATTCACCCATGAGAAAGGAGGATATCCTACCTTTTGTGATAACATGAATGGATCTTGAACACAGTATGCTAGGCAAGATAAGCCAGACAGAAAAAGACAACTATATGACATCACTTACACATGGAATCTAAAAAAAAAAAATCAAACATAGAAAAAAAAAGCAAGAATAAAACAGTGGTTACCAGGTGATGAGGATTAGGGCTAGAAGGCTGATGTGTTTAAGGGTACAAACTTAAAAGAAAGAGGTCTTAGATACAACACTAAAAGCACAATCCGTAAAAGAAAAAATCGATAAACTGGACTTCATAAAAACTTAAAACATTTGCTCTGCAAAAGGACATTTAAAAGAACAGGGGAGAATACTTGCAAATCACATATCTAACAAATCACTTGCATCCAGAATATACAAAAACTCTTGAAATTCAGCAACAAAACAAGCAACCTAGTTACAAAGTAGGCAAAAAGATATGAACAGATAATTCACCAAAGAAGATATTCAGATGGCAAATAAGCAAATGAAAAAATGCTCAACATTATTATTAATTAGAGAAAACAGAAATTAAAATCACAATGACATACCACTACACACCTATTAGAATGGCTAAAAAGAAAAAGGAAAAATGATAAAAGCACATGCTGGCACAGACGCAGAGCACTTAGAATTCTCTCACACGGTACTAAGAAGGCAAAACAGTACAGTCACTTGGGAAAACAATCTGACAGTTTCTTATAAAGTCAAATACATATTACCATATAACCCACAAATCAGACTCCTAAGTATTTACCCAAGAAAAATAAAAATTTATGATCACACAAAAACCTATCTATGAATGTTTAAAGCACCTTTAATCATAACTGTAAAAAAAATAAAAACAACCAAAAGGCCCATCAGCAAGTATCTGGATAAATGGAATATTACTCAGCCCAAGATCACTCCTTTTTACTCAGCAGTAAAGAGGAGTGAGCTACTCTCAGAAGCAATGATGTGAACAATTCCCAAACATATTTTGTTAAGTGAAGAAAGACCCAAAAGGCTACATACTGTATAATTCCATTTATATGACATTCTGGAAAAGGCAAAACTATAGGGGGGAAACAAACTTGCAGTTCCCATATATAGTAAGTTGTTTTTTCACAGGGGGGACTAGGGCTACTCAATGAGAAAAGTGAAGTCTTGAATAAATGGTCTAGTGTGTCTAACATCAGACACAAAAATTAATTGGAGATGGATCACAGACCTAGACATAAAAGTTAAAACTATAAAACTCCTAGAAGAAATGATAGGTGATTATTTTCAATCTTGCAGTATAGAAAGATTGCTTACTGCATAAAAATAGTCAAAAGAGAAAAAGATTCGTAAGTTGAACTTCATCAGAATTTTAAAACATGAGATCATCAAAAGAAACATTAAAAAATGAAAAGACAAATGAGATACTGAAAGAAAATATCTGTGGTACATACATATGACAAAGGATTTATATCCAGAATTTATAAGGAACTTTTACAAATCAATAATACAAATACAAACAACTCAAAGTTTTAAATGTACAAACATATTAAAAGACACTTCACAAAAGACATATAAATGCAATAAGAACATGAAAAGTGTTCAACATCATAAATTACCAAGAAAATGTGAACTAGAACCACAATGAAATACATTTTCAAACAACCAGAATGACTAAAATTTAAAAAACTAACAATGCTAAATTTTGCAAAAGATGTAGAACAATGAAAACTCTTACACATTTATGGTAGAAATATAACATAATACAACCATTTTGGTAAAAAGTTTGATAGTTTTTTTTATAAGTATATGCCTATCCTATGACCTAGTAATTACACTCTCAACCAAGAGAAATGAAAAAATGTCAACAAAATAGTTAAATAATAATGTTTGTAGCAATTTTACTTACAATAGTCACAAACTGGAAACAACCCAAATACCCATCAATTCACCACAAACTATGGTATACTTACAAAATGGAATACGACTTGACCATAAAAATAATGAACTACTAATACACACAACATGGATGAATATCAAAAAAAAAATACGTTGGGTGTAATAAGCCAGCCACCAAAGACTATATACTGAATGAGCCCATTGAGAGAAAATTCAAGAACAAATGAAAGTAATCTATGATACAGGCATCAGAACAATGGTTGCTTACGGGGAGTGGAAAATGACTGGAAGAGTACACAAGAGAACTTTCTGGGGTAGTGGAAATGTTTGTCTTAAATGGGGTAATGGTTATAGAGTGTTTACACTGATCAAAACATCAAATTGTACACTTAAGATCTGTTCACTATACCTTCAAAAAAATTAAACTGTTTAGGTCTTTTACTTCAGTGGTAGAAAATGCAGAACATATCACATGGCATCCTGCACACAGTGAACAAAAGGCTACTTTTAGAGAGCGTAATAATTCATTGAAACTCATAGAGAAAGGCTTAAATTCATACAGGGCCCATATGTTTGGGACAACAACATAGTCTTATTTTAGACAATCTGAATCTGCTTACTGGCAAACAAATATGGTTTCTTTTTTAAATTAGACTTGCCAATGTAAACATGAGTGGGCCAAATAAAGAGGTTAAATACTGAATCAAGCATGGGAAGAACATATAACCTTCCAGTTCCTAGGTGCCTTGAGAACAAATGACCCACTATTAAACTCAATGCCAAAAAAGTATACACTATCATTGTTATTCCTGATTTGGCAGGGAAGACAGCTAACAATATAAAGTCTGTTGACAATAATTTGTATAAGAAAAAAAATACGGTTATATTAACTACCCATAACTTCTGTTCTCAACTGAATCCAATATAGAAGATACATTACATCTCAGAGTCAATTGTTTTGCAACAGAGTCCACAACTATAACTCTATTCTTACACAATGTTAGGAGGCATAACAAATTTCAACCCAAAATCAGTTTAAATGATGGTTCATTTAACCAAATGATGGTTAACCCCTACAAATGGAATAAGCTGGATCAAAGTATATCTACACTAAAACTGACAATATTTTGCTAAAATTTCTTAACCTTCATTTTTAAAATAAAGAAAATACAATTTTAGTATTCAACTGATCCATGCGTTCTGAGATGTTTTAACCAGAAAGCTATCCATTTGCAAACTTAAGTGAAAGACAATTCTTAATATGCACACATGCACACACGTGCACACACACACGCACACGTGCGTGCACACACACACACGTGGATGTGTGTGTGTGTGTGTGTGTGTTTGCTTGATCCTATATGTGTGCACCTAACCAGCAAGTTCCATGTGGTTCTATGAAGTTTCAACCAACTTGGCATTGGTACTGAGAGAAAGTACTGGAAAGTTAAACACTGAGCATCCCATTTTTAAAGCTCTTTGTGGAAGTGGCATACCTGTGCCCTCCTCTGCACCTCCAGGAGGAGTTCCGAGTACTGCAGCTCCAGGTCCTTCTTTTGTTTGTGCCAGCAGCTCTCCTGGGCTTTGATCTGCTCTGCCACTTTGTTAAAGGTGTCTTCCTGCGTCTGCTGAAGCTCTCTCATTGTATCAGACTTGTTTTTACAGATGTACTCTAGATGACTTATCTAAACGGAGAAATGCAACACAGAATGAGATGTTCACAAACCAGTCCTCTGTATCACCTCCCCCAAAAGCCATTTCAGAATTTCCTACTATATTTTATCACTTAAGATCATATAAAAATTTTAAGTTAAAAAGAAAACAAAGAAATTAAGGAATAGGAACTAGTAGGACAAAATTATATTTTAGCAGAAAATGGTGTCATTTGTATGTATAGACGACAAATCTTTTTTCTTTAGTAAAGTGACTCATTCTATAATCAATTTTACTGACAAAATTTAGAATATTCTTACTTCTAGAACCAAAGCTCAAGCTATTCAGATATCTCAATGTGAAAGAAAGTATTTAAATGAGATTTACAAATCTACAAATATGTTACATATAATTAAGCAGAATGTTCCAACCATTTTTATTTCACAATTAAAACACTGGAAAGAAAATCATCATCATCTAACATGTAATGACAATTAATGATGTTTTGAAACTATGAAAATCTATTAAAACACAATACCATCTCAGAGGGTTAAAAAATGTACTCATTTATCAGTAATTTTCAAACTCATGATACATACATTCACCATAAAGAACAGTATTTCCAGTTCTCACAATTTATTTCTTCATTTCCTCAATCCTAATTCTCAGCGCCTGTGATTGTCAATCAGACGAGGTAAAATGCTCTCACTCTAAAACTGAGCTGAGATGCTGTTTCATTATTTCAAAAGATTAAAAAAGAAACTTAGGAATAGTTTTTCTCTTTGTGTCCCTTATCAGCAAATGTCACTACAATTAAGATCTGGAATATAGACCATGTAAATATAGTTCTGACCAGTTTAATAGACCTGGGATAAGAATCATACCTTTAACAGTGGAATATGTTGTACTGCTAAGCCATTTTAATTTTCTATAACCAAAAGGAGATTTTGGGGATTTATTTTTTGAAAGACTGAGTTCCTTATGGTAAAGAGACCATAAGTCTACTGTTTTCTCCTATAATATATCCTTCTTACATTCTGAAGCACTAGATGGGTTTTGTAACATACAGTTTGTTAAATTACAAGAAATGTCATAAATAAAATTTTTAAATTTTAAGTGCTTTCAAAGTAACAACTCATTATTTCCTGAGCAAAGAATTTTAAGATCATGTTTTTGAATAACTGTATCTTGTTTCTATTTTATGCTAACATAAAGAGTTGGTTTATTAATGTAAATGACTAAGTTCTTTGAATTGCTTCATCAGTAAGATTAATTTATTTTCTTTTAATTAGGTCCCTGTGGCTAATACTGGCTAGTAGTATTAGCATGTCCTGCACAGAAAGTGGAGCTTAGAGACTTCATACAGACTTCAGTCACATTTACATGCCCACAGCAATGGCATCAAACTGAGTTGTAGACAAGCCATAATTAATGGTATTGAATTATTAACACCCAAATTCTTTTTGAAATAAGATGAATGTCAGCCCCTCTTAATGATACTGTGATGTGGACAAATGTCACTGGATTTAATAGAGGTATCTGGTGCCTGAGGACAGTTACCTTCTCATTAGCCCTGTTGAGGTCTACGATCAGGGCATCAACATTCTCCTGCAAGACTGCACAAAGCTCAGACCAAGAGAATTTATCCAGCATGCCTTCTGGTTGTTTTATGAGCACAGAGCCTGCTATCAAGTGCTGATACAAGGTATGAAGGAAGGTTAGCTTCTCCTGTGAGAAAAAAAAAGAAATTAATTCCAGTATATAAACACTGTAAGAAGTAAAACACGTAATACATATAATGAAGAATTTATTTCAAAAATTCTGGAAAGGAAGTCAAATTTTCAAGTATCAGAATACTGTTATCTTGGTGACATTTTCACATTCAAAATAAAGCATGAGACAGAAACTTGAAATTGCTTACACTTGGTTTGCAAAACCAAAATCTGAAATCTAGAAACCAGAAGCCCTGGATTCTGACAACAGTTTTGCTACAACTGAGGACGTGATTCAAGTAAGCACCTTTCCAGGCCTCATCTTTCTCAGCTGTAACATAAAGCATCTCGACTAGTGGTTTGTAAGCCCTTCTAACTGGATGTCTAATATGGTAATTCTATAATTTCATATTTACATTTGTCAAAAAATATGTCATTTAAGTCAAAAAAACAATATAAAGAGAAGAGCATTACTCAACTCTGAAAGCTGACGAAAGTTATACCAACATGTACTTTACATGCACACAATTACTCAGCTTTCCTCCTTCTCCAGAGATTCCAGTTTACTTACCACTTATAGGAAATCTATCCAAGCCCCTTAGGCAAAGCAGACAGTGATATGAAAGAGATGGAAGATAGGCTCCTTTGTTTTCTTCACTTAGAAGTTCAAACTGTATCTGGCACACTGGGCATGTGTAGGTGTTTAAATATTTCAAAGTTAACAGTCCGAAAAAAAAAATGGACATAGCTGCCCAAGACATACTTTTAAAACTAACCAATTAGAAATATGCAAAAAAAAAGTTCCTTAAAATTATATTGCTGTTATTGTAACTAACCATCCATTGTTTAATGACCTAGAAACACTATACTGTAGAATTCAGTAAAAAGTTGATCCCATCTTGAACACACAAGGAGAGTTTACTGACTAAAATGCCAAATGGCTCTCTTTAGAAGGTATTTATTTCATCTATTAAGTCCCAAAGAATGGAACTCAAAACAAGGTAATTGTGACGCTACAAAATGAACATTTTATGTAGATAAAATAAGTTCCCTCAAGATTTTTTAATAGATCAGCAAGAGAACTTTTAAAAGAAGAAAATTAAGAGGAAAAAATAGGAATTCTAATCTTTCAGATAAGAAAAACTGAATAAAGCATATGTAAAGGCTTTGCAATTGGAGACTGTGGTAAAAATTTTCCAATATATATAAAAATGTGTATCTTTAAATCTCTCTATATGCCAATATATAACAATTTAAAAACCAAAAACTCTGCATATGTAGTTATATCCACAAACTTGAGTTAGGATATCAGAAAAGTCTTCATAAATATGCTATGCTTTTTTTTAAAGCAACTAACAATGTCTTTTGCATTTCTAACTAAGCTGAGATGTTTAAAAAATCTTATTAAATAAAACTAATCAAACACACTATTCAGGCACTAAAAATCTCCGCGCCCCCCCCCCCATTTAGAAAGTGGAGTTCATCCTAAACGGTGATTCATTGTGTCGCCATCATGTCCTTTTTGCTTGGGCTGTGATGAACCATGCATAATAATTATCCATTTGGCGTGAAAAGTGAATCTCAAGATCCAAAATCAATTCACACATGTTGAACCCAACCACAATGCTGTAGACATGCTGACTTTACAATACAGTCAGGCTTCTAGTTTCCTTTACTTTAATCACTATCTGATGTGTAGAACAATTCCAGCCCCTTCATGTGGACACAATTTAAATCCCAGACTGTAAGAAGAGTGGAAAGAATGTTTCCTTTTTACCCTCTTGGCATTCATGTTCGTATTTGTTAGAGTAATGGACTCAATATGCAGGACGGCTCAGATAAACCAGCTCCACTCTAGCTAGACTAGTTCTATATCCCACGGGTAAAAGAAAATATAAGATAACAATTCCACTTCCACATGCTCATATAGAATATAAAAGTTTCTCATAATATTTTAAGAAGTCATTAATAAGTTAAAATGGACAGGCAACTCTCAAGGGCATTAATTTTGTGGGATTTGTATTTTTCTAAATTTTTATTAATATCCTAGAATTATAAAGAGTAAGGAGACTGTCTATTAAAGTAGATACTATTCCTGTTTTGCAAAAGGAAACAAAGATGTGGAGACCAAGCTAAGTGGCCTGTCCGTCTTCACAGTTTGTAAATAGAAATACCTCTATCCAAGTCAATTCTTTCTGATTACGAAAAACATTCTTCCCACCAGGCCAGATTACAAAACTACTGAAATAAAAAAAATAACTCTGTCATTGGCAAACAGGACTGTTAGGAGCATAGCTGCTTAAGATAGGATGGTCTAAAAGTCAGAGAAAACTAGTTGTACAAACGATAAGAGTTAAACTATTTTCTTTCCCTCACAAAATAGGATGATACAAGAGTAATGCAATAACTGATTTTGCAGCTGGCATGAATAGTTCAGAATGGCTCAGAAGAATTTTTTGAATTAAATCAAATAATAAAAATAGCCACCTGATGGCTGTAAATTTCTAAAACTGAGATTAGTGCGAGGCCTTTCCTGACAGTCACCATGCCTCAGGTAATACCTCTGCGTCTTTATGAAAAGTCTGGGAAAGCTTCTGCAGCTCACTTTCAGACTGGGCTGCTCGCACCTTCTCCTTCTCCCAACAGTGCAGCACGTTTTGTAGTTCCACCTTTAAAGTGCTTATTAGAGCCTCTCTGTCTGCACATTTAGTGCGTAAATGACTCAACTCTTTATTGACATCAGCCAGTTTATCTTGAAGGTCCTGTTGGAGACACCAAATAAAGAGATTGTATGAATGCCAGCCAACAAAGGGGTGGGGGGGATAACAAATACAAAATACATAATGAAGACTTCCAAAGCTTTGACATAAAAGAATAACAAACCCAAGTGTGTGACTATAATACTAAAACATCAAGGTATATTATTGAATGCATTTTCTAAGTATAAAATTTTAGCTCAAAAATTAGAAAATTTGTCATGTTTTAACATTTAAATATAAAATGTTAATAAGATAACTTGTTCCATAAAGCACTTTGAAACTTTTCCTTTCAGCTCGCTATAAAAAAATCAACTTGGTAGCTCAAAAACTTCTAAATAACATGTAACATTTTAAAAAGAAATTTCTTAAATTTACTATAAGAACATTTACTTCCCAATGACATTCCAAATACCAACAGAAATTTGAAATATGTGCCATAAAATTCTGCTGAACTATTTATTCCTTACTCTTAACAAATTCTATTCAAGTATGTCTATGGCAAACTCAACATGAACCAACACCAAAAAATTTCCTCAGTGTAACTTAGCAAAGATGAAGTACATAAAACCAGTGCAAAAAATAAAATAAACTGTTGTCCTAGACCTTAGCCAGGTGTGGGCTCAGCCATCACTAGGCATGATGTACTAAAAACAATGGCTCCACCCCAAAATGATGAAAACTAACTCCAAATACTGATGTGCTTATGTAAAATATGTTGAATATGTATCAAAGGCTAGATATCAGATCTTAAATCGTTTTCTGAATCTATGGTATTATAATTAAACCTGGGAAATGAATTTCTCCTTTAACCAAAACAATTTCCAATCAAGTTTTATTTGTTTAATGAAAAAAACATTCTTCTTACTTTGATCAATAATAAAAATTTTTTTAATTATACCTAAACATACTTAATAAAAATAGAAAGATATATTTCTAGATATATCTACTTTAAAATAGTCCCAAAATAATTATATTTGTTTCTTAATACAAAAGGAAAAAGTTATTCTAAACTACAATACCTTTATATTTTTAGTGTGAGATTCTATCTTCTGTTTGGTAGAATCAAGTTCATTAGATGCCTTTTCCTTAGCATTACTCATGCTGCTTAGCTGATAAAAGAAAATGTAAGAAACTTTTAAAATATTTTTCATGGATGGCTAATCTTTAAATGTTTTTTATGCAATTATTTAAAGAAAAAAAATTTATAGTAATTAAGGGTCTTAAAAAATTATTTCTTTTGGTTAACTATGTAATTTCTGTCACGAGTTCACAGGCCTAAAAAGAAAAGAAGGTATTCGAGCTTAAAATGTCAGTGGTGTTATTGTGTTTTTACTAGATGTCTGGATAAAGGATTTCATTCTTACTATAAACAAATATAACTTTATTCTTAAAATCCTACTGGACCAAAATGCCAGAAGCAGTGGCATCTACACAGAAAGAAAAAAGGACAGGGCGGAAGACTGTTCTTTTTACATCATGAGGGTATTCACTGGTCTCTCTCTCCATATGACAACTTCAGGGTCGGTCACATGCAGTCCTACTGGGAAGGCTTGTGGCAGGTCATCAGTTGGTCCTGCTCCGCTTGTGATTTATTTTCTTTGACAGTTCATTCTTCTTTCTGTCAGACTGCTCTTTCTGCTTTCTTTGCAGCCACCCCCTTGGTCTCCCCACTGCTGTCTCTGGCACTGGTTCACAACAAAGCGCATTACTAAGCCAAAGCCTGCTGAGTCGACTTTTCAACTGCGCTGAGGATCATGTGACATTCATCCTCCCAAATAACAATTCGCTGTGGGTAATATGTTCCTAGTTACCCTGCAGCTTCCAGACCTAGGCCTCAGAAGAGTTTCATAAACTACTAACAGTACAGGTTGTCGTGTCTCACTGGGAAAGACTTAGCAGTGTTTGTTCTTTATAGAACTTTAATTATTTCAGTGGTCACTTTTTTTTATACCGTTTGAACAATTACAGATAGTATTAAGAACACTCACTTTTTCTTCTTTGTTCACCATAGGAAACTAAAGTAAAATAAGACTCTTCTGAAATGTGAAATATAAGGGTTTCATGGCCTTTGTATTAGATGAAAGAAACAGATAAATAGGCAGGTAAACACTAAATTCCATGCTATGTAGCTTGACTTTCTCTGGTAGGAACAATTGCTTGTTTTGCTAACTAATTGTATTTAATGTAGCTATTTCATATTCTCTAATTTGACAAGATGTAACTAAACAAACTCTTCAATTTTTAAAGCACAAATTCATAAAACATTTTAATACCCAAGAAAGTTATCAACCCACAAATTAAACAATACATAAGAGAAGATAAATAGAAGCACGAGCTTTCTCAGTCAGGAAACTAAGAACCTTCAGGCTACACCAAACAGATACTCATTTTTAAAAACTTCTAACAACACGTTACTCCCTTTAGAGAATGAAAACCAACTTCTCTCTTTCTGATTAAGACTTCTTCAATTTATAGAATTCTTAACTCAAAATATTGACAAAATCTAAATTTCTACTATCTATTCCAAACTTCATAAAAACATATTTAAATATAACATGCATTAACTGAGTTTCACAGTTTTTTATTAAATTAAAATAGATAAATTATGAAGACCAAGAAATAACAGAGTCTTTATAATTTTGAAAATAATAGTGTAACAGAAGAGTTACAAAAACATAAGTGAGACACGACTTTAGGCCACACTTAAAGAAAAAACAGTGACAGCAACTTATTATTTTTTGTGTCTGTGAAGCTGTCAAATCAACATTCCCAGTATTTTTGACCTCTGTAACAAGCAAGTAATACGTACTGCTGCAGGCCGAAGGCTATGTGTGTGGAGCCAAACAGTGCAAGTGTTACCTCATTAGATGCATCTTCCAGCTTGTTGTGGTAATCTGTCAAGGTACGCCGCAAAGTCTCAAGGACAACAGAGAAGCTGGGAGGTTTATCTTTGTCCTTGTGGATGCCTAGAGGAAAATACAGGATGAAAATATACCGTTAAAGGCACAAAGAGACAAAAGCTAAGCAAACAGTAACAGAGATATTACAATTAGACAGAGGTGAAAAGACAGCACGATACACTGAGCAGAATCTTATTCTCCAAGGTAAACTACTACATAGCCAAGTATTAATTGCTTTTCCAAACAAGTGGTCAAAGAAAGTTCGCAATATATCAAGTTCAAATTTATGGCTACTCTGTACCTTACCAAGGCCCACCTTGTAGTTAGTAGTGAGCTCTTTTTTTTTTCTTTCCCTATGTCCAAAGTACCCAAAGTACTTGAACACACCTGTTATCCAAGAATTAAATGAACAGTCTATACTAACATTGTTTCGGGGAGTTACATACACTTACCTTGGTCCTTGTGTTTCTGATCAATCAGGCCTATCTTGCTTAAATAATGATTTCTGAACCCAAGAGCACCTAATTTTCTGTTATGCTTGGAAATAATATTCTCCAATCCTTACAATTCTCAAGTTACAATTTGAAATAATAAAAATGCTATTATCTACATAGGCCCACATCATGTTTCAATTAAAACCCTTAAAACTGATACTCACTGTAAAAATATGAGTATTTCCATATTATGCCCTCAAACTATTTTAATTTTGCTGGGCCATAAGTTAGTTGAGCTAATCAAGGTCACATGGCCAAATATAGTTTTAAACATTAATCCAAAATAATCAAAAGTTTAGTTTCAAAAACTACTTTAAATTGATTGCTTATTAAACTACTCTGTACCTGTTAAAAAATAAGTAGCAAATTTTAAAACTTACTAAAAATATTTTTTTCTATTATAATTTCTCCCCATCATAGTTTACAATCTAAACATTAATATAAATAAGACAAACATTTTCAACAAAGGCAATTTTTAAAAGCATTCACAATACAGGTCTTACTACTCATTGATTCATTCATTCAGCTAACTTAATGAATTCCTACTATGTGCCAATCCTGCATTTGGCACATGGAGGTGAACAAGAATGGTGCAGTCTGTTCTCATAGAGTTTACAGTCTAAAAAGAGAAGTTGAGGTAGTACGGAAATAATTACATAAGATCATTCACCCATTCTTCAAGCATTCAATCGCTGGAACTTTGTGGGGAGGAGAGAAGGAAGCAGTGATAAAGGAGAGAAAGAATGAAGAAAGTGGAAAAAGATCTTTGGTTTATCAAAACAGCGTGGTTAATTATAGAACAACTTTATTCATCTCAGAGTACTGGTGATAATTAAAGTTTTAATTCTGGACAAAATATTATTAGTAAATGTATTATATTCACCAAGGTATAATTTAAACATTATCTTAAGTATGGGTACACCTTAGATTTTCTTAGACAGAGAATAATAATTAATTTAAAAAGCAAAAGTAATATGGAAACAACACATATCCCAGGTAGGGGGTAAAAAAAAGATAGGGCTCTAAGCCATGAAAATGGAGAAGACAGTACTTTTTGTAAAGACTGAGTTGGAAAGACAACTCATTAAAAATTTTATTAAAGGTCTTACCAAATATATTTTTTAATTGCTTTCTTGCACAAGATAAAAAAATGTAATATATAATTCTTTTCTTTTGCTACAAGTAGGCAATGAATAAATCATTCAAGGACACTCGGGAAATCTGCTAGCTTATACAATAAGGGAGAAAACTTCCTCTTAGAAATCCAGAAGAATAAAAGCATCTTAAAATGGGCATTGAGGGATAAGGGGACAAAATGCCCTCTCCTTACTGATCCATGCACATGCTATATTCTAAATAAAATAAAGTTTCTTTGCCTGAAAATGCTTATACAATAAAGTTCAGCTCAAGCACAAAGTATGCTTTATGTCCCACCCACATCCATTATAAAAAGAAATACTTACTGGTCCCATAATATGACAAAATGCTTACAAATAAAAAGAAAGGGTCACTCAGGACCCATGACCTTACTGACTAATTCGATTTAGCCTAACAATATCCTAATCATTGCACTATAGTCCAAAAAACAATGAACTATTAAAACTATCCTATCAGAGGAAGGTCTAAAAACTCACAGATAAAGAGCAGTATAAAAAAAATTTGAACAGTACAATAGTCATAAATGGCTTTTCAAAAGTCAAAGTCTAAATGAAGAACAGAATGTGTCAGGAATATTTATACCTCAATTACACCAACTCAAAATCTGGGTTTCCTGCCCCTGTCTTTACACATGTGTGTCTGTACATGGGGGCCAGTCTGTCCTTTCACATCACCGCTGCCTGTTTCAGCCTTTCTCTCACTTTCGAGTAGTTTCAACTCTGGGTATACCTTGGCAAATCTTTTCTTTGAATTAGTAGCCAAGTCAGAGGAGGGAGTGAAGTAGAAGAAAAGGTTCCAAACCGTCTATTTAAATGTTCCCTTTTAGATAATGTGAAAGACTAAATATTTTTATATGACTCAAATAAACCATTCCTTTTCAAGCTGGTGTTATTATCTCAGTAACCTAGAGTTCCGCAGAAAAAGCAGTTAAGTTGTTAAGAATGAGGTGAGTCTATTTCCTCCACCTTGGCTACCATTCTCTTATTTACTTCAGTATCCTGCAAGACCTCAATTACGAAGAAATAATGGACAGAGAACATAAAACAAAAGACTGAGCTTTTTTTTGGGAAAAAAAGTATCTGTTACAGAACATGAGTAGTCACATTCATCAAACAGGAAATAAAGAAAACAAAACCCTGTTGTTTAATGTTGATTTTTAATTATGTAATAAAACACAGAAAGTAATATTCAGGTGGGTTTTTACCTGAGAACAATCTAAACATTTAACACACTGATGACTAAGAAATTCCTTTCTCATTCTAAAAGCACTAAATGTAAGTATTTTATTGGCAGTTATACTTTTTAAACTCAGGCTACATTCTGTATATTAATTTGTCTTATTCACTGAGATCATAAACAAACAACTTCATTATCTTGCAAACACTGATGCCCATTCTGGAGTTTTTAAGGAAAATGGCTCGTAACTTTTTTAACATATGGACAGTATTTATTATGTAAGTCCTGCTCACCAACCTCCTATGTCCCCAGAAAGACTCCAAAAAATACTTCCTTTGCCAAGGTTGGAGAAATGTGTTTGTGTGAGGGGAGTCCCTGCACCCCTAATGAGCTCTGTGTGGCTTGGTAAGATTCTACGCCACATAGCTAGAAATCCATGGATAAAGTGGGAAATGGTGCCATCAAGCTGGGTTCCCTGAAGTCAATGAGGATGCAGGGGTCTCAGGTGACCAAGGCCAAGTGTAGCACTTAACTTCCAGAGATAAGATGGACATGGTTATCATAAGGGGCAGTGAACTCAAAGCAATAAACAAAATGGCTTTACCCACAGAGATTGCTGGCATTGGCTAACTGATCATGGTGTTCCTAGGACTAAAATAGATTAGCACGCGCTTAAATGTTACCTGATCTGTATAAGTAGAAAAGCTCTAGGTTTGATTACCAGAAGTAGGAGTGAAATCAACACAAAAGAGTCTTGGCCCTCAACCAATTCTCAGACTTGAGCTAGTTCACAGACCTAGTGGCCCGTGAATAAAGAGGATGGGTGCTCTTTAGGAAAATGATCAGACTGCCAAAAGACCACACTGTAAATCTTCCTAGCCTTCCTCAAAGAAACTTGCAACCATTTACCAAGATGACCATGCTATGGGGAAGGGGAGTTACTCACACTTATCACGGATAACAGGACACTGGATCTGAAGTGACACTAATTTCTGGAGACCTAATATGCTATTGTGGTTCACTAGTTAGAGTAAGAGCTTACAGAGGTCATTTTTGGCTAAGGTCTATCTCCAGTGGGCTCAGTAGATACCTGAACTCACCTCATAGTTATTTCCCCAGTTTGGAATGCACTGTTATAAAAGACAAATGCAGAATCTGGCACAATGAGCAAATCAGTATTAGTTACTTGACTTATGGAGTGAGGGATTTACAGAGGAAAACAAAACAGAAGAAAAGCAAGTGTAAGTAACCAAAACTTTTACCTACCAAAATGGTAAATCAAAAGTAATGCCCACATTCCTGGAGACATTGCAGAGATTAGTGCCTCTGTTAAGGATTTGAAAAATAAAGGGGTGGTGATTCCACCCACATCAGCATTCAACTCATCTATCTGTCCAGTGCAGAATACAGAGCTTAAGGAATGATAGTGAATTACTATAAGCATAATCACATGTGACTCCAGTTGCAGCTGCAGTTAAGGATGTAGTTTCATTGTTGGAGCAAATCAGTACATTTCCTAGCAACTGGAATGAAGCTATTTCTTCCTTCCTTTTAGTAAAAATCACCAAGACAGTTTCTTTCCAACGGCAGGGCCAGCAATCTCCCTTCATGACCCTGTCTCAGAGCTGTATCAACTCTAGCATAATCTAGTCTGTAGAAATTTTGATCAACTCTCCATTCTGGAAGATATCACATGTTCCACTTGCTTCTCTACCAAGATGATGATATTCTGACTCTCAAGTTCAGCAGGTCAAGTTTGGCAGGTCTTTATAGGTGAATCACAGTGTAAACATTTAGGATGTTGGAACAAAGAAAGCCATCTTCTACAAATAACTATTCTCCTCTTGAAAATCAGCTTTAGACTTGCTACTGGTCCTCAGCAAATATGACATTTATGCCCACAAATTTAGCATGTGACCTGAGTTGCCCATCATAAAATGGTTATTGTCTGATCCACAACCCATAAATTTGGGCATGTACAATAGTACTCTATCATCAAGTTATAGTGGTATATACAAAACTGGGTTCAAACAAGTCCTGAAGGTACAAGTAAGTTACATGAGCAAGTAGTCCAGATTCCTAAGAACCCTATTCTTGTTACATTGCTTCTCTTAACCCACACCCTGGACTGTGGAAAGCTCCTATGACCAGTTGACTAATGGGGTAAAAATAGGCTTGTTACTTAGATGTTTCTGTATGATATGCTGATACTACTCGTACATTGACAGCTGTGGCACA